TTTTATTTAAAAAATAAAGAAAATAAATGTGAATTGTTAGGATCATGTCTTTGAGTTAATAGAATCAACTACATTTTTGGAAGATGCCAAATTCAGACATAAAAATGAGGAATATTAGCAAGAGCGAATCGCTTTGCGATCTTCAGAAAGTTGTGGTGGAACTCGACTTTGTCTCAACCAGGCAACCCAAGAACCTTTTCAGTACCTCTTTGTGATCTCGAAGTGTTATACAACAACAATACTTCTCGAAGAATATGCTGATTTGCAAAAACTGAGAGAACTTTAGGCTTTTCTTGCACATTTTCGAATCTACTAACATTTTCGATGTCAAATACTAAAAGGAGCAGAGATCTGTTTCAGACAACTTGTTACAATCTAGACTTTAATAGATGTGAAAGAAGCAAGAAAAAAATCACCGTCGTCTTAGAAAATCGAATTCGATTTTCCAACTATTTAGAAAATCGCTGTCGAATTTCAAGAATGTTGGAAATTATTTGTAAAAATCGATTTTGATTTTCTAGAATCTGGAAAACCGAATCGATTTTCTAAAAATTAGAAAATCGCTGTCGATTTTCCAACTTTTTAGAAAGTCTTTGTCGATTTTCTGGCAAATGAGAAAAGTCAATTCATAAAAAATCGAGCGGATTTTCTATAAAGTAGAAAATCAACATTTTCTAAACAGCCAGAAAATCCTTGGCGATTTTCCAGATGGATTTTCTATAAAGTAGAAAATAATTCCAAATTACAGTCTATTGAGCTTTCTTATGGCAACACGAATATATTGACATGAATGCCGTCATATTTCTAAACGAACATACACATACATACTCCGCTACATCTCCATATGATAATATAGTAACGTCATAGTGCACACACTGCTTACTTGGAACCATCACAATGTCGTCGACATGCTATCATCAGCAGGTAGTTCCGTGGGTATCAAATACTTTTTACACAATATTTCTCGATTGTGCTGAAACTTTCAGGGTTAGCACGGCTACTTAAGCTGATCACTTCCGCGTATTTTAAGTCAGGATGAGGATGAGAGACCATTTTTTTTGAATTTCATGAGTTTGAGTAGGAAGTTAGCTAAAACATGTTGTTTAGATTTAACATATCCGACTTTTGATTACTCTTCGACGTTCATAAGAAAATCATCAAAACTTGCTTCCGAAAAGTTGATTCCTGTACCCCGACAACAGATCAACCAAATTTGTTGTGCAAGAGGATCCGCAGAGAGAGGATCCGCATCTTCTAATGTGACAATCCCTTTAGTGTTAGATTACGAAACCTAAGTTACGATTCCAAACGAAAGTCCTGACAAATTCAGAACGAATTTCGAGAAATTTACTTTTTTGATCTTGATTTCTTGAACACGATTTTCTCGATTCTATCCATTCTCGGCTTCTCGATATATTTTAGTATTTTTTTTCTCACCTAATAAACACGACTGTTGTCTAATATGGACAAGTGGTAGCAGCGATATAGTATACAAAAATAAAGCATTATGTTTAACTTAATTCAGTCCCCCGAAGATTTTGGAGAACTGTTACAGGATCTGGCGTGAATAGTCAGAGGAATACAGAATAATCAAAATCAGCAGCAACATTCAACAAATCATATTAGACAACAATCATGTTTATTAGTTAAGAAAAAATTTAATAAGAGATTGTCACATTAGAAGATGTGGGTCTTCTCCTTATTCATTGACTACTAGTAAAATATTACACTGAGACTGGAAGGAGATAAAATGATAAAAAGATGAAGAATGTCTACATTGCACTAGTCATTCTATATGACCTAAGGTCAGATAGACATTCTTCTTTTTTTATCATTTCCTTTCAGTCTCAAAGTAAGAACTTAATATTCTCTATTTGACCTAGTATCAATAAACGTTCTCTTCGAATCTATTCAATAACAAAATGCAGTTAAGTCACAGTCGTAATCACTCAAGATATCCACCATATCTTCCATCTGACCATAGTGCAAAATCACATCCTTATGGGCCTCTTGGTCTTCTTGATGTATATCAATATAATTTACGACCTACAGTCAATTTATTTCCGTGGATGAGCCCAGTTGAGGATCAACGAAAATTTAACGATTGGTAAGCTTCGAATCCGCCTGTTAGTGAGTGAAATAGTGTATATAGGTAAAAAAACAAGACATTCTGTTTCTCGTATTTTAGTACAGCCGAAGCAACCGCTGGTATGGTTATATGTTGAAGAGAACCCGATTTTATCATATCTCTGTATTTGTAGGCGCATTAGAATATTCACTTAGACGTTATCATAATATTACGAAAGATGTTAGTCGTCTATTTATCTTTTGGGTTTGTGCCAGGCTTGAGCATCCTCGTGTAGGACACATGGATGACGAGGCATGGCTACCAGAAGCAATATACGGATTAGTAAAATACGGTTTTTGTTTTGAAGGCGTTGGGGAACATATAGAAGAAAATTTCGGAGTTAAACCGCTGACCAGAGCATTTGATGAAGCTAAAACAAGAACCATAGTTCCAATACACATAGCACCTTATTTATATTGCATGAAACGTTGTTTGAATTACGACAGACCATTTCTTATTAGCTTCAATTTAAAATTATTACATAAGCATGATATGATAATAATCAATCAGGGAAGAGCCAAAGGCCCACCGCTTCCGATCGACCACACGACAGGAAAACAGCAAGATCAATATCATGTTGTTCTTGTAATTGGTTACGATGATCAAACTCAACTTTTCTTGGTTCGAAATTCGTGGGGAAAAGGATGGGTATGCTTCTATCTTGATTGAATGACATAAACAGCTCTATTTAATTGGAATATGTTACTTCATTTAGGGTTTCGAAGGTTATTTCTATATACCTTACAAATATTTGCTTGACAAAAGATTTATGCAACATGAACAGAATGGCATATGGGCTATATTTCAAATTCTCCCACAAACGAAACCAAAAATGACACCTATATTATTAAGCATTAATAACTCAATGGGTACTCTTCCATTTATAGTTTCACCAACCAATCCGACACAGGACTTAAAGTACTGGAATAACAATAGAGTGCAATACCGACAGGCAAAAATGCGGCAGTCAAAAATGCATTACTAAATCCCATATCTAAACTATGAAAATGAATAATATAATATAGACATGGTTCTTTTCAATGAATAAAGAGATTAAGGTGTCACTATTTGTATCTATTAAAAACGCCCAAATGTTGTTTTTAAGAAGTTATAGTACATGTCCGCATCCTGAGCTAACATAAACGCCATGATAAATTTACAAAGTACCGGTAGCCTGTCGATAAAATCCCATGTACTAAAAATCGCATAGAAATCGGCAATTAATCGTGAAAAATCATAGGATTAGTCGTGTGCTTAATCGCGATTAATTGTCGATTTTTTTTGTGATTTTTAGGCGATCTTAGCGATTAATCGCAATTAATTGTCGATTTTTTTCTACGTACTAGGTTCGAATCCATCTTAGGAAATACATATTTTTTTCTGTTTTTTCATTGTTTAATACGTATAATGACATGTGCGTCACACCGCAATGGTCTTAGTACCAGCTGGCGTCGGGGTCTTGCTGACGAGTCAGCTTTAAACATTGGCGACATACCAGCTGTTCAGTGGGCTTCTCGATTTAAAGCTCTGAGGAACAATAGAGAAAACTCTTGACAACTCCGTTGTAATATAAAATAAAAAGATGATATGAATATAAGTGTATCTTTCGCTGAAATCGTGTTTCTTATATAGAAACTTTATTGCAAAAGAAAAATCGCAATTAATTGATGATTTTCGTGATTAATCACGATGGTTGACAAAGTCATCGATTAATCGCGATACACGAAAAAATTATCACTTAATCGCGATTAAATGACCATTTTTTCCCGAATCGCAATTGAGCGTCGATTTTTTCAACCATCGTGATTAATCGACAAAAATGAAGCGATTTTCAGCACATGGGATATTTGAGCAAACATTGAACTGTCTACAAAGCATTTTTAATCTTTCGTCGCATTTCTACCTGGTCCGATAATTTTATCTTGATCTATTTTCCACTGCAATGTGATGAGAAAGTGTTTGATAAAACATTATGATAAATCAACTAAGAAAACTGCGTCGTATGTTAGCGAACAAATTATGTATTGGACTTTCGGTTTACCACCAATTGTTGGTTTTTTTGTCAAACGAGATAGAAAACGTACGTTTAAGTTTTATTTGTTCAATAATAGACAATGCGGATATATTAAAATGTAAATAGCGATAATAATTATGGCTGTCATTGAATAAGTAATCCTAAGTTGACCGCTATGTACATGCACTGCTTTATTTTCTGATTGAAAAGACATGTTTAAGCTCTTTCCCTTACAAAAATTCCTTTGCTGACAGCGCCATCTAGTTCTGTGTCTGAAAACGAAACTGTTCCACGAGGTATTACAATAAATTTCTCGCAGAACATAATAATCAGGATAGTATTTTCTATATTTCTGATAATTTTAACAGTTCCTGCGGTGAAGTTCAAATAATGGTTTTCAATTAGAGAAATTCGCTAAGTGGTACAATCCAGTACCTATGCACAACGAGTAGTAAGAAAAAAATAAGAACTAAATAGGTCGATTTTCGCTGATTATTGACAGATATTGGTAACTTTCTCGATTCATGGTAACTAGTAATTGGATTAATAAATAAAAAATATTCAATATATAGAAAATGTGGTTATTTTCACTTTATTTTTCTGATCTACTGCCTCATTCTCGCAGAGGAACCTCCAGTTTGTTTCCAAAAATAAGAAGCTTTTCTTTTCGAATCCTATGTAGTATTTTTAGAAGAGCAAACGTTTGCCACATAAACTCTCAAATTTAAAGTGTGTAGTAGGTAATAAAATGTAGTTGGCTGAATCTTTTGTCTCGTTCGTAAATCAGCTAAGTTTTGGAAACATAATACCAGCAGTGAGGCAACCGCAGAATTGATCGAATAAGAATAGCTAAACCGCATTAAAATTGACACATTAGCGTTATTGTTTAGAGTGAAATATAAACAGCACTATTACTGAATAATAATAAACTTTATGTATTAGGAATATTTAGTAAAGTAATTTTAGTATAATATACAATTTAAGACGTTAATATCGGCAATCTTCTTCAGATCTAATCTTTGTTCTCGACGTTTGGTATTTTTATTTTTGTCACCAGATTAAAAGAAACAAATTTACGCATGATTTCTTCAGATTAATTTCTACGCTAACCGCATAATATGCGCTTATTTCGTTGAAATATGAGTATATACTGTGCTTCAAAGTCTACCATGTCTTTTGACGAACAGCGTGAAAAAGAAATATCAAACCAAGAAGTATGTAAAATCTTATCTTTTTATCTATGAAATTAGAGTAAAAAATCACAAGAAAGTTTAGTAAGTGATTCGTCTATTCTCATGATTCATCGCCCTGATTCAATCTATTCAGTAATAAAGTTTATTTTATGTGGCTTTTGATTTTTTATTCTTGTTATAGGATACAATAAATCCTCCATCGGTATCGTTATGGGAAACCGTTGATGTTAAGAAATGGATGAAGACAAACAATTTAAATGAATATATTGATAAATTTTGTACTGAAAATGAAATTGATGGGTTAACACTTTTATTGATGAAAGAAGATGACTTGAAAAATCAACCATTGTCTATTGTAACTTTGAGAGATGTTAAGAGATTATGGTATCATATTCGGTTGTTACAATGCTCAGAAGTGAATTTCTATAATCTATTATCAATACCAAATGAGAAATTTAGTAATACTTTAATATCGTCATCAAAAACTGATTTAGCTCAAAACGCACAACATAATAAAGAAAATCATTCAACACTGATACCATCGAATTTTTTAGACACAAAGACGCACAGCACACATAGTATTCGTCGAACAAAATCAAATCAAAATGTCTATTGTACCATGTGTGGTGGCGAAAAACAAAAAACATTTTTTAGTTTTGTATATGCTTTTTTGAGTTGTCTATGGACTTCATACATAATGGCAGTTGTTCACGATCGTGTCCCAGATACCACGAAGTGGGTGAGAGAGGCTTCTTTCTTTGAAATCGTCAGTGTTCGTCTTATTATAATTTTAGATATCCACCACTACCTGATATTTTCCTGGACAATATTCCTTTTATTAGTAAGTAAAAAGTTTTTTAGTTATTGATCAATGCATTAAATCACTCTTTACATTATTATTATTAGGTTGGGCATTTTCTGTTACTGAATATTTGATTTGTCTGATGGGTATTACGTTTTTATTGATTTTGTTCTTTCACAAATATTGGTAAAGAAGAAAAGTATTGCAGTGACGTGTTTGTTTATAATTTCACTCTTTAATCTGTTTTTATTGTTAGGAGTGTTCTTTTACGTCGATTTTTTGCATTGACTGGCACGATTTTCTTTCTTCGTTCAATTACAATGTTGGTAACAAGTTTATCAGTACCCGGACCACACTTAGAATGTACACCATTCACGTATGGGACGTTTCATGAACGATTTACACGTGGTTTAGAAATATTTTTATTGCAAGGTACGCGGATTAGTGTGTACTACATGATTCTTCTTTCTTGCACTGGTTTATGGTAATTTTAGGTTTATCGATCAAAGGTGTCAGAACGTGTGGTATGTATTTTTTTATTTTCATTCAATCGATTAGTTTTATGTAGTATTAATTTCTTTTTTAGGTGATTATATGTTCTCCGGACATACCGTTATACTAACTTTACTCAACCACTGCATCACAGAATGTAAGCAACTTTTCAGTAATTTCTAAGCAAATTATCTAAAAAGTTGTGTGAGTTTATATGATTTTACAATGGACATTTATCTTATTTAGACACAACATCAGATTTTTATGTTATTCATTTAATGTCTTGGATATGTAATATATTTGGAATGTTTCTTATTTTGGCTGCTCATGAACACTATTCAATCGATGTGTTTATAGCATTTTTTCTTACATCAAGATTATTTCTTTACTATCATTCGTTAGCAAATAATCTTGCCTTGACTCAAAATGATACTCGTTTATCTATTTGGTTTCCAATGTTTAGTTATTTCGAAAAGAATGTAAAATGTATTATACCAAATGTATTTCGAATTCCATATCCTTTTTCTAAACTTATATCATCTGAGAACATAACAGAAGAAAATGATGGCGATGAAAATAATAAAAGAACCGGTAGTGAAGTAAACGAACGAACTTTATCTCATTCAGATAAATATTGTAATAATCCCAATTGTTGTACAAGAAAAACCAAGTAATATTCGTTTATGTTTTAATGACGTCTAACTGTACATAAGCAAAAAAAATGTGATATTTTAGTCTTCTCGTTTTTGTGTCCTATAAAACATTGTACAGCATGCTGTTTGTAGGAGAGATATTTGTTTTAGAATAATTTTTAGGTGTTCTTCTTCTGGATTCGATCTTCCGACCTTTCATACGCTGTACTTCTCCAACTACGCATTTTCCCACTAAATTGTGCAAAAGGAAACTACGAGTTATGATGATACATTCATAACATCATTTGATGCTTTATAGCTAGCATCACTAGTCAAGTACCCGTCGTACACTTCGTGTCGACGTTAAAAATAAGGTGGACATTTATGTATAGTATAGCTAGTAACATGTGAGTGATCACTTGTAAATACTATCTAAATATATACATAAGTGTACGGTCTTCATACGAATGTATCATCATAACTCGTAGTTTCCTTTTGCACAATTTAGTGCAATGGTAAAATGCGTAGTTGGAGAAGTATAGCGTATGAAAGGTCGGAAGATCGAATACAGGAGAGGAACATCTAAAAATTGTTCTAAAATAAAACATTGTATAAGAAAGGACTTCTCGGTGAATATAATTGAACAATTTTTTCTTTCAAACAGTTTGTTTTTTACGTCTATGTTTTGTTTAACCGAACACGTAATAATACCGAATGAACTTGAGCAGAGTAAAAACCACCAAGTTTTTCTGTGTATGTCTGTAATTAATTTCTTTTTTGTTCATCTCTAATCTGAGATTAAATTATTTTCAATGTTTGTTTATGATATTTTTCTGTTCCACATATCTACATCCGTATATTTATATGTAAAGTCCGATAGAATGTTTTCTTTTTCTCCTAAAGTCTGTTTGATGTTTCATTTCCATTAGATTTTTTAGAGCGTACATTTCTGGCTTGTTTTGGTTTATGTTTTCTGTAAAAATTACGTTTTGTTTCTTTTGTGCAATATACACTTTTTTATATGCACATCCGATCCTTCCGCCCAAACGGGGAAAAAAAATATGCAAATAGATTCGTTTGAAGTATGTCTGAAATGCATACAATAAAAATGATTCAAGTTTTTCCTTTTTTAATTGTTAGGTAAATAATGACTGCTTCTATACTAAGAAATTTTATATTTCTTCATGTTTATAGCCGTTTGAATAATCTGTTTGCAAGATATTATCATAAGTGTGTTAGCCATTGAAAGTAACTTGGTTGATAATGTTTCTTTGATTTTGAAAAGAAAATATTATAATATTATCTTGAAAATTTTAGCGTGAGCGTAGAGTTACTGCAATAATATCATGCATTTTTAAATACTTTCCCATTTAAAAAAACTGATAAGATTAAAGTGAATTTCTGAAAGAAAAAAATCCTATATTCCTAGTAAATACATATGACGTATGCAATTTAATATTCGTAAATTATCTGTAGAAAAAGTGGCATTTTTTTCTGTGTACAACGGTGAAAAATGTGAGAAGTATTTTTGATTCTTTTTAATGTTTATCTTATAGTCTTGAACGATATATAACTCTACTCCTTCAAGTAAAATATATCATGTTCTTATAACACGATTATAGACGACTGTTAATCCTATGTAAATCTAGTGCATCTATAGTTTCATCTTTTCTTCAATTAATTTTAGATCATAGATGAACAGACGAATGACACAGAACGTCGTCCTCGGTTTGGATCCAATAATTTATTTGATAATTAACAGATGTGTTGTTTTAATTTATTTTATGATATTATTTATTTAATTGACAAACGAGTGTATATAATTTGTCAAAAAGAAAAGTAAAGATGTTTGAGAATATAATTTTTATCATAGAAAAAAGATAAAGTGGAAACAGAACGATAAAGCTGAATTTATTTATTTATTATAAAGAATTTATAACAACCAACACAATCGATTTATTTTGTCACTGAGTATACATTATTATCAGTAAAGACATAAACTCATACTATTTTCTTCGTTGATATCGGTGACCTATATTACAAATTGTTTCTGTGCAAAAAGTGAAAAAGCAACGTAAGAACAAAAGAACTTTTTCGTTTTTTTTTTATTGTTTTTGGAAGACTAGCGCAGTCATGTCCTTCTTTGCTGAAAATTTAAACCGTTGGAACATTGCATCTGCTCTTTAGGGGTACCTCCCCTTCTCTTTTTTTTACTTTATTGCTAAAAGTGGAAAAAGAAAATCAATGTTTTACCCAGAATTTGATGGCATGTTTTTTTATGATTTTCTTCTGAAAACTCGAGTTCTATCACATTACGACCCACGAATACTTCGTCTGATCGGGCTCAAAATTTTATCACAGGTGCTCGGGATGATATCTCAAAACAAGGATTCTTTTTTTCCACTTGTCGTTCTTTCTGACGTGCAGACGTTTCAAACCTAAAAAATCAAAATTTCAGATTTCACCTAAACCTTTTACAATTGTCTTAGATGTCTTAGGAAGGAAAAATCGAAAACGCAACAAATGAATTGTTGCTCTGAGATATCGTCTCAAGTACCTGTGATAAAATGTTCGCGGATATGAGTATCAGTCATAAGTCCTAGTATGGCGGTTAAACAGGGGTTCGTATGTGCAGAAGTTTTTCTCAACTAGGGATGAGCGGTAACGATAAAAGATTTTTTACCGAAGATTACCGCGGTAAAATTTTGAAGTTTTTATTGTAAGCTGGTAACCGTAATAAAATTATTTTTACCGAAATTCTATTTTCATTTTTACTACTACTATTTTGAATTTTTGACTATTAACGTCAGAACATGAAATCAGATATGGTGAAATATTCAATGTTTCTCAAAGATAATTTGTGAAGTGAAGTAGCTGTAAATCGAAACTTTTTGAATGTTTCTTATTCATGTTAACTTGTTCTTTTGCATGAATAAACCTGTTTATCATAGTTTAAAAAATAATCTACATACATTATCAAAAACTCTGTAGTCATCGGTAACTTGCCGTCAGTAGCGGTAAAAAAAAGAAGTTTACCTCGGTAAAAGTTTGAGATGTTTTACCAGTTTAAATTCCCGTGGTAAAAATCTAAAGTTGTTACCGAAGCATCTGTAACGATAAGACGTTTTTACTGTTACCACTCATTCCTATTCTCAACCTGTTCCTCTGTTTTCAGTTTATTCTCGTTTTCATTTCTCTTAATAAAAAAAAAGAGATAGTTCTTTATGAAAAACAAGCGTTAAAGCAGGATAAAAACTAGATGCTAACTACCCTGCAGGCAGATTGTAAAGCCGAGCGAGTGAAACACCATTTAGAGACATTTTAGATACCATATGATTCGTTCAGATAGGCTATAAGAGTCCATTAGTCCTGCTTTTACATACGGATAATAACATAAATGCATTTTCGTTTCTTTTCTATTTGGTTTATCTCTCCTGCATATAAAATAGGGGTGGGACAGTTCCAGTTCCTATTGTTTCTAGTAACTGGTTAAAAGAAATGGTGACCAGTTACCGTTCCCAGTAACTGGAACTGATGACCACTTACCATTTTCTTCATAATCAAGATGTAGAAAAGTTGATGCTCATCTATCTTGTTTTTTATACTGTAGTAAACTCATCTAGCTCAGTTCGCACAGACAATACTGCCATGTTTTCCACAGAAACAATACACTATTGGAAGTACAATATAGGAACAATACAATATAGGAAATCTTTATTCTACAGCCTTTAATGTGAGTGTTTCTATACTATGGGAAGCGCCTTTAACTGTTTAAAGAAATTATAGAGCAACAAACATCCACTTAGAGATGTAAAATTATGGTGATTTGAAGGAATAGTAACTAGTTACCAGTTTCAGTTACTGGGAATGGTAACCGGTCAATCAGTTCCAGTTACTAGCAACGGGTACGGAACTGTCCCACGCCTAATATAAAACGGTATTTAGCCGCCAGATCGTAACTAATTATCTCTATAAAAACAACAATATCTTTAAAAACGTGTGTCAATTTTAGGCACTAATTATAAAATAATTAAAATATATATCGGCGAAATCACTTCAGATGTTTCATCCACAACTATTCTTCTTTCCATCCATTTATTTTTGTCCTAAACATCTAGGAAGGGATAGCCAAGAACGGGCTGCTGACTCGAAGCAGAAGGTAGTGAAGAAAGATGAATTTTTTATAGTGAAAAAGGATCAGCCTTAAACGTTTTCACAGCAACAGATCAATATAAATCGATTTCAACCTACATTGAAATTGACAGATGAATTTTCTGATGTTGAATTATTGCAATAACAGATTCATTTTTGATAGTAATTTTGACTCCTAAAACGTCTGTAAAGGTATCGTGACCATTATAGGAAGTCGTAAAGTACTTGAATTCGGTCGAGTTGCGTTTTGAGTCAGGGACATTGTATTAGAAATGCTACATTTTTCAGGGCTTTCAGTAAAACGATCATAATCTATTAGACAATATGATGAAGAGTTGGGAAGCATCTCATGTGTAGATAACACTAGCTATTTAAAAAAATTTTCAAAATTTAAAATATAGAATTTCTTCGGCGCATTTGGACAAACTTTAAAAATCTAACATATCCTGAACGAAAACCCGTAGAGAGTTGAAAGTGTTCTGATTTTGCCGAAGACACTTCATTCTATAACGAATGCATCACGTTTAACTCAAAACTGAAAATTTCCTCGAAAAGTGAAAGGAGTATGTTTAAGTATATAGATGCAAATACAGTACTGATCACAATTATAGGAACCGGGGTTCAGATCTACTTGTCTCCGCTCCTCTGACTGATATACAGACTTGAATAACGAAAAGTCTATGTAACTCTAGGGATTCAGATGTGCTCTATCCGAATATGAAATTAGATTTGCACAATGCGACTGACAAGTTTGAGAAAAATATAGTTTTATCAAAAACGATCGATTTTTACCTGGAAACAATCACGTATTCTATGTGTTATGTAACTTTCGAGCCAAACGAAAATCAGTTTGGTACAAAAATAAATAAAACTCGATATTGTCCCTATAATTGTGTCCATGCAAAAATCGATCGTTTTTGATAAAACTATTTTTCTCAAACTTGTCAGTCGCATTGAACAAATCTAATTTCCTATTCGGATAGAGCACACTCGAATCCATAGAGTTACATAGACTTATTCAAGTCTGCATATTAATCAGGGGAATGGAGATAAGTAGATTTGAACCGCTGTCCCTATAATTGGGATCAGTACCATATATAGAACGGGTGGCGCAAAAAAGAATTGCACTGTTAGTATTTTCAAATCTGCTCCTCCTTACACTTGATTAAGCTAGTTTTTTAATAAAAGATTTCCTGTTGAATTCTCTACAAAAAATATATTGACTGTTGTATTGTAAAATCCGAAGGTGTAAAATGTCATGAGAAATGATGAGAAGTACTTAAATGTTGAAAAAAATAAACATATTTTACAGTTTTTTAGTACTATCTGCTAAAAGTTTGTGAGAGAGGAAAGCTGAAGTAGCTATCGTGTACGCGTCGAAAAGCTCTGTTTTCCATCTATAATTTAAATAATTTTCAGTTAGAATTGAGGGCGGAAGAATTTCATTATTTTTTTGCTAATTTTTCAAAAAATGACGATTTTTTACCAATAATTTGAGCCTTTCAATAAAACAAATAAAGCCTAGTCAAACTTGATCCATTCAGGTTGATTTCTTTAATTCTGAAAACAAATAATTAGTCGTTATGGGTCACATCTATAAGATTTGGAAAAAAACTTTGTTTTGTTTCACCCTTGTTCCACCGCACAAAAAAAAGGTAACAACTTTTGCTATTTTCACTTGGTTGCTCTTTGCACCGGGTATTTGGATTCAAACGATTTTCGCTCTACACAACGAGAAAGAGTGTATGTGAAACTACACAAAAATATACTGAAGCCGTACTTTAATGCTTGCGAAACCATTCGAAAAAATTTCGCTCTCTTTAAGAAAATACATTTTTTTCTCATGGCATTTTACATCTTCGGATTTTGCAATAAAATGGTTAATATATTTTTTGTAGATAATTCAACAGGAAAACTTTTGGTAAAAACTAGCTTAATCAAGTGTAAGGAGGAGGAGAAAAATTGAAAATACTAACAGTACAATTCTTTTTGCACCACTCGGTTCTCTCTTTGTCTCTATATAGTAAGTATATTGAGGAGATATTTCGTTTTTTGTTACTATTTGTTGATAAGTTTTTCGTTATGCATGGAGTTATCTGCGTTGTTCTCCACAGGCAAACTATTGTTCTTTCGCTGATTAGCGTTCTACGATAGTTTACCGAGGAAGGAAACGTTTTGTTAGAAGAAATTTTATTTGCTGTAAAATTTAATATAATTATTAATTATACAGTCGTCGACTGTACTATTGTTTGAATCATGAATGTTCAAGCTTTAATAGACAAATATTCATCAAATTATATTATTTGTTTACCTGATGTTCATCAGATTCATTCAGACTAATCTGTTTAATTGTTCATAAGTGTTGATCGGTATTTTCGAACATTTATGTTATTTTGTTTTAAAATATGAGTTAATATTGCAGAAAAATCAATATAAACGCATAAATGTTACACAGTCATGAAGAAATTCTTTTTGTCTTATTTGGTATAATTAAATGTCAAATGATATCATTTATTATTTGAATAGTCTATAGTGAAAGAAACATACTTTACCAATTGGATTTGTCTTATTTACTAGTATGATATTATAATACTCTTTTTTTTTTGGTTACTTATGATAATAAATCATCTGTGAATTTTAAATTAGTTACTTCTTTTTTTTTGACAAAAAAAATTTATTCTAATACTCTTTAACATAGAAAGAATAAAAGCTAATAGATATAGAACAACAGAAAATACTATATAGTATTTACTTTTCTTGTTTTCTTGTGTCTTAGAATATGATTATTTGGTAGTTCCCATATTTAATCATGAAGTAAAAAACAAGAAAAATAACAAGAAAATCTTACTACATGCTGGAAAAAAGAAATAGAGAAAAAAAGGAAATACCGATCGAATAATTATAACATAAATCATGTCAGAATAAAAAATAGGAAATAAACAATGAAAATGTATCTAAACAATTATTTCATTAATAAATATATCAAAATGTGAGAAATGATAATAGTAAAAGCTCATATACTTAACCAAAATTACGAGTTTATGTAAAACTTATCAGACTCTGGATCAGGCAATTCTATTAGAAGAGAAAAACATATTCTAGACAAAATACATTAGTTTGTCTTGCTAGCGTAAAGTGTCTAGTTACACTTAATCTTATATTTTGACGCCTCTACAAATAGTTAATTTTCGAAAAAAAACACTATCCATTTTTTGAATATTCAAAAATATTTTTTTTCATTTTTTATTTTAGTTGAAAATGCTTGTATATCAATCGCATCATTACTCACCACCATCTCAAAATCAACAACAATCTTCTACCAAAGCTTCATCATATTTACCATCATCTTATCCACCAAAACTATCAAAATTAATCATGGAACCTTGGACATGGTCGGTTGCTCAAGTTGGAGAATGGTTAATCAAACATAATTTACAAGAGTATATTCACTTGTTGTGTAGTACGTATCAAATGGACGGTATGAAATTAATAAATCTTAAAGAAGATGATGTAATGAAATTAACGGTCCCAAATAAAACTGATAATAAAGAACTTTGGTATCATGTTAAACAATTACAGGCATGTAAGTTATCAGTTTATTATTAATCTAAAAAGCAGTTAATATGTCAGAGCTATCTGTGTTTCAGTTCGAACTACGTGTACGCAGAACTCATTGAAAATACCAATCACATCACCATCGTTAAGTCATATAATCCCGTTTTATAACAGTAGGACTGATATTCAAATGAATAAAACTAATACTGATAAACAATTGATGTTAAATATGAATGGTCCACAATCAAATAGTGTAGCGTCGAATTTAAATACTACACCTACAAATAGTGTTCAAAGATCACGTTCACAAATTGAACGATCATTGAGCGATGGATCTCTTGATAGTGGTTCACATGCTCTTGTATCGGCAACAACATTCACTGAACGTAATATTACAGCTCCTGTACCAGTTACGTCAACAGTGTCTCCAATAGATGGACATCATGTAAGAATTCCAACTGAAGAACTAGAATTTCGCGATGATGTCAGTTGTTGTATATTAACAACATTACGTAGTGATCGAAAAAAAACATTATATGCATTTTTAATAGCTGTTGGAGCATTAATGTTTTGTAGTTTTATAATAACAATTGTTGATGAACGATTACCAGATCCAAAACGTCATCCTCCGCTACCAGATCTTATATTAGAAAATATACCGCAAATTACATGGGCATTTACCGTTACAGAATACATGATTGTGATTGATGTTAGTGCGTTAGTGACTGTTATTCTATTCCATCGACATAGGTATGTTTATATCAATATTTGTATTTATTGGTAAATAATTTAGATGAATATTTTAAGTTTTTAGCTTTTATGAAAATTTAGTCCCTTATTTTTCCTGTTATGATTTGACTGCTGAAGAGAACTAGAGAGAGAAAAAGATAGTTATAGAGGTGAGTTTGACTTCGAAAAAAATTCACATTAGATAATAGTGTGTTTGGTCATCACTGCTTAATTTAATGCAAAGACAAATTACAAGTGTAGGCGATAAATAATGCGTTTTTTTCTTAACTAAATAATATTTTTAACATTATTATGCACACTAATAAACATATGAACATTTAACTTCCTTCTACATTTTATTCCTTTTTCGTTGATATGAGATCTAATACACGTAACACTTATTAAGAAAGAATGCATAACCCCATCTCAGAAGGCTAAAACACGAAAAAAATGAATATATACTTTTTTATATCATTCGATTCTACTACACGTGAAACTGTGATTATGAAGATTTTTTTAGCGCTTCAAACCTTATATTGACGAACTTATAAACATTTCAAAATAAGGTGCTTCGAAAAATCGGAAAATAGCGTCACCTATAGTATTTTGAAGTTTTTCATGTCAAATTAGGTCAGATAACCGCTAACTTTTGGCTAATTACGGTTTTTTTCACCTTTTTTATTCGATATGACGATTTCTATCGTATTTTTTGTATGATTCGAATCATACTAACGACCTACGAATTACTTAGAAGTGAGGAGTTGCATTAAAAATAACAAGTTATTGTGCATGACCGCACAAAACAGTTTGTTTTAAAACATGTTGTAAAACTTCACTTGTTGAACCGAAGTTGGTCCATAGTGACCAAAACTACGAACAGGTATCTGTTTTTCGTTAGGAAACATGTGGACATATTGGCGTAAAGGTACCGCTTTTTTTGATCATCTGTGGTTTTTATAAGCAACTGTCGGCAAATGAAGTCGAAACCATACACAATATCAGAAGCATTTTTTTTGCTATCACCCCCGTTATACGTGAAGTGGCACGTCCATTCCAAGGAGAGGAATTTGTTATTCTTGGTTGCGTATGAATGAGGAATGGCAGGCTAACGTAGTTTGGCAAGGGTTCGTGTAAATTCGCCCAAAGTGTGGTCGCATGCATTACACGATAGCACGGGAGTCACTACCCGTTTCCAACGGATGTCCGACCTACTCACCAAATCGTCCGTGTTTAGGCCGGTACACGTGTCTTAGGGTGGGTTTGAGGCCCTGTCACTTCAAAAAGTTGACATACACGAACCAAAACTGTGGTGCTGAACAACATTTTCTTCTGATACAGATATGTTCCTGTTTGTTTTTTTAAACATGTTATTAGTGCCACTTGTAGCTCAGAATCTTCTTTCTGTTCACTCAACAAAGTCTGTTTGAAATCGTTTAACTCTACATTTGTCTCCAAGGCACAATCAGTTTTAGATGTTCTGTTTTTAAAATCAGATTTATTTTATCGACAAAAAGTCGATTTAAATAAAACACGTATTTGTCAAGCACACTATGATAAAACACCGGTTTTTTTTAAAAATACGATGCGACTGTGTATTATGCAAAAAAACGCTAAAGAGCCATTATTTAGCCAAACGTTAGCAGGAAAATCATTTAGTAAAACTTTGGAAAACACACTATTCGTTGTAGTTTTACTCGCTGATTATCATTGGACACTTTATTTTATTACAAAACGACTTTTTAGGGCGAAAAAAATGAAATTTCTGACAATGTCAATGAGTTTCTATGGGCTAAACGCTGAGTCTGTTTCTGGAATTTCATCCTGTTCTGCCCTATTGGAAAATGTCAAACTCAGCACAGTTTGTGCAGAATCGCGAGCTCTACAAAAACACGATTTTAAAAAGTTAAATTTTGAAATTTAGTTAAATAATTTTTTTGAACACAAAATACATCATTCGATGCAGTTTTTGATGGTCTTCCGAATGAGACGTTGTTCGAAACTATCTGACTTAATCTGACATCAAAAACTTCAAAATACTATAGATGATGCTTTTTACCGATTTTTCGAAGCAGCTTATGTTGAATTGCTTAAAACTCCGTCAATATAAGGTTTGAAGCGCTAAAAGAATCTTCATAATCACAGTTTCACGTGTAGAATCAAATGATATAAAAATGTATATGTTAATTTTTTTTATGTTTTGGCCTTCTGAACAGATTCTTGCGGGGCTCGCGCATTGTCTCTTGTACTGGAAACACTGGGATTGACTAACTACGTCTTTCTGTTCTTTTATAATTTGCTTTTTATTATCTTATTTAGACTAATAATTCTTCGACGATTATTCGCTATAGCTGCCGTATTGTATTTTTTACGAAGTTTAACTATGGTATTCACTTCATTACCAGTAGCTACAGTAAAAACAGATTGCAAGCCTGATGTGAGTTTGGCAGCTCAATTTTCTTTTTGTTCTGTAAATTTGCGGTTGAATTTTTATTTAGAAATTACCAAATATTGTAGCTCGTCTAAAAAAAACATTGCTGATATTTCTTGGTCAAGGTTTATCGCTTTATGGTGTTCGAACTTGTGGTGATTATCTTTACTCGGGGCATACTTGTACACTAATATTATGTACACATTTTATTAACGAATATTCACCACGATCATACCATTTACTTCATTTATTAACATGGCTAATGTCATTAACTGGCATGTTTTTTATACTAGCTGGTCATCAGCATTATTCTATTGATGTCTTGATCGCGTGGATTTTAGCATCAAGATTATTTGTTTATTATCATACATTAGCAAATAATAGAACATTATTGAAACGAGATCTAAAACGAATGAGGTAAAAGACTACTTATGTTTAAAGAACAAATTTAATTTAAAAATATATGTTTTTTTCTTATCTTATAGAATTTGGTTTCCACTCTTTGTCTATTTTGAAGAAAATGTTTTAACAGCTATACCTAATGAATATTGTTGTCCAACTTTTATAACCGATCTAAGAACTATGTTTGGCAATTGTATTGAAACAATCAGATATTAAATTCTATAAGCTTATAAAATTCATTTTTATTCCATCTCTATTTCCAAAATAGTCTTCGAAAAACAAGAATTTTTTTTCTTGTTGTTTTTGTTTATTTTCAATCTATAGTCTGTGTGAAGAAATATGTTACATCTTTCGATCCCGCGTGAAAAAAAATCAAATGCTGCTAATTTTATTCTATTTTGTCTGATTCTTTTTCTTTTCTTTTTTTTTTGTCTTCACTTTGTTTTATCATGCACGAGAATGTGACGAAATACGCTTAAAAAAATCAGAATCAAGTTCTTTTTTATATGACTATCATTAATCTTTTTCTTCGTATTTGGATGATATTCTTCCTGTACGCAAGAGTAACTGTATAATAATGTTATTGCTTGTTGTTGTTTTTTTATGTAATTTATTGACAGGATCAACATCTTTTCTTATTTTCTACCAAAAAACTATGTCTGATAGAAAATGACGCAACTATGAATGAGTGCTAATTGATGTTATTTTTTTTGTCTGATGTGTCTTATAGTTTATATAGGTGATTAGAGAAATAAAATACCGGTAATATGATTTATAGAGATGAAGTCTTAAATAGTTATTTTTTTTTTTTTGCTTAATCCACCATTTTTGATATTTGATAGCCGCATTTATATCCTCTATTTTTTTATTATTGGTTTCCTCTAGCTACTCTATCGTATTTTGTCTATATCTCTTATCTTTCTATCATCCATTCGTGTCAGATTGCTCAATTTTCATCTCATTTGTTGATCTCTGTTCGCAGTTTTTTTTGTTCAATTGTCACCATCTTTTTCTTTTCTTATTTTGTGAGTTGTTCACATAGAACTTTATGTTTTTGTTACTTTTATCGTATTGTATCTGTCATTATAATATGTTTTTCTTTTTTATCGTTCAATACATCTATAATCTAAAAATACGCTATCTTCTGAGTAAATGAACCTCTAAGTGTTTTCTTTTTTTCATTTATTTTGTTTTTTTTTGCTTGCTTGTTTAACATTTTTTGAAATATATCTCGGACTTATAAATTCATTAATGTTAAAAACGACTCACTCTTGAAACAATTTAAAAAGTTCCTTGTTGTTCAAATTTCGATGAACAACGGTAATATATGACCAGTAATACTGTATATGACTAAGTGTTTTACTACAAGGGTAGTTTTTTTTTTTTTTTTTTATACAACAACGAAGACATATTATTGATATAAAAAAAACCTATTGCAATATTTTATTTAATAATATCGTGTATTCAACTGAGACAAACAAAGATGATAGAAGAAATGTGAAGAAGATTAAAACATATTTTCATTATTTTCGATTCGTTAACTGAATTTCAATAGTACTAATATTTAGATAAATGGTTTCATTTTTTTTTTATTATGTTCATTTTAGTTTTTGAACATGTGTTTGCTCATTTCAAATAAAACTTGTGTTCAACTTTACTAGATAGATGATAGTGAATGTCATATAATTTATTAATAAATTTCGGTTTGTCTACGAATAGTGTGCCCTTTTCTATATGAAAGCATTTCTAAATTAAACGGACTTACAAATAAATAAGTTTGGGAACCTTCAAAACACATCGACCACGCTGAATCTTATGGCAATGTTTATTTTTCGAACAAGCTTAAAAACCCACTGGAAATCTTTACGTGACGAAATCAACTATTTTTCACTATTTTCACCAAAAATTAAAAAACTCATAACTGAGTTAAAATTGTCTCAAACCGCTTCAGAATATCAAAATATACTCAATTTTTGCTGTGTTATACCATGAAATAGCACGTAAAGGTTTCCAGTGGGTTTTTAAGCTTGTTCGAAAAATAAACATTGCCATAAGATTCAGCGTGGTCGATGTGTTTTGAAGGTTCCCAAACATAAAGTTTAGCCGATAGGTAGGTCCTCGAAAAATACCTATAGTTCCTGAACTACGAGGAGTAAAAACCTGGGACTTATGGAGTTTTAAAGAGGACAGTCTGGAGGTTCAAATCAATCTGTCAGAATTCAAAATACATTATTTTAGAAGCATATAGAATACAAAATCCGTAAAGGTTTTCTAGAATACCTCTGGAAAACCCTAAAGTTAGGGGGCATGTATTGATGACCTTATACATTTGTAAGCCATTCTTTTTGACACGAATGCAAAAAAGGCCAAGGCTTTGTCGTAAAACGCTTGGTCTTTGTGAAAGGTTTTCCAGAAAGAAACTCTGGCTTTTCCGTAAAAAACCGTTTCCCGAAGTCACCTGACACAACACAAAGATTTTCCACAATAACTTTAGATAGAAGAAAGTCCGCTGTAGAAGACCTACATGGTTGTTTGACTTCAATGTCTAAGACTGTTCTAAGAAAAAGTGTTCCACGCTCAAAAACCGACTTTCTGGAACCCCATTATGAAGTACGGCGGCCAAAAAAACTGATAATCCATTAGATTCAGCATCCTCGAAAACCTCTAAGAACCAGCTCCCACTAACCTAGCTTCAATATTACAGAAGATAATGGAAGAAAAATCGTCTCACTGACTAGGTTTGAAACTCTTCATAATCACAATTCGTTGCGGGAGAAATTTTTGTTTATATCCATTTTATCCAAAATCGCTGTTTTCAAACTGCAGTTTTCGTCGTATTTTCGAAAATTTTTATAAATCGGCCAAAATCAAATATTTTGAGATCCGGTATGTCTTATCTTATTAATTCAGATAGCAGATTAATTCTTGTGTTATATCCGAACAGAGGAAGTTGGATAGTTCTATTTCATTTCCACTGACAAGGCGAAAAGATGGAAAATTTCCTTTTTTTTAGTAGACCAGTAAAATTGCATTTTATATCAGCAAAACACGTCCGAAGACAATCTCTGATACATGCCAAGAAAGACGACACTTCCTGGTACCAGCACATACGTTTTTTTCTAGTTTGTTGCATAGTTTCATGTTCACAATAAATATCTTTTTGTTGTGTTTTGGATTAGAAAGTAATAGAAATTGAAGCTTCGCTGTATTTCATCTGTCTTCCTTTATTTCTGCACAATTATTTCTGCCACACCCATTATATATCTTTATTCATAACATGATAATTTAATTTAGAATAAGCACATAATTTTCTCACTATTGTGCAATTATCATTAAATTTGTAATAGTGATGATTATTTTATTCATTTGAAAAATATCATTTTATCATCAAAACAGATTTCATTATATAATAAAGTAAACTGTAACGTTTCTCATAGTTCGAATATTTTAAAAATGGGTAATGCTAATGGTTCTCAAAATTCAAATTATTTTCGTCAACAATTATTTCATAATCTTTTACCAAAAGAATCATCGATTAATGTTGAAGGTTTATTTAATGAATATTATTTTGATACTGGTATAACAAAAACAAATGATCTAATACATTCAACATATCAATTTGCTTCTGTTAAAAATATTTTAACAAATGAACAAGAATTATATATGACTATTGGTCTTAATTCGTGTGAAGATGGAAAAAATGAACGAAAATATTTAAATTTAATTATTGTATTAGATGTATCTGGTTCAATGTCAGAACTATTTGATAATAATAGTTTTAATACATCAAATGAACATTCACAAATGACAAAAGAGAGTAAAAGAAAAATTCATGTGGCTAAACAGGTATTAATCGAACTAATTCATAATTTAGATGCAGAAAATGAACGTTTAGGTATTGTATTATTTAATCAAAATGCCAATTTATTACAACCAATTCGAAAAGTAAAAGAGATTAATATCAATGAATTAATTGAACGTATAGATGGTATTGTACCAAATGGCGGAACAAATATGGAGTGTGGAATGATTATGGGTATTGATATGTTAAGTGACTTGTTAAATGAAAATGTAAATGATACAAATAATAATCGTATCATATTTTTGACAGATGCTCAACCAAATCTTGGAGGAGAAAAAAGTTTATTGGATTTATCAAAACGTGCTGCATCAAAAAATTCAATTTATATTACGTACATTGGTATTGGATTAGATTTTAATTCTGATTTAGTATATGAATTAACAAAAATACATGGTTCAAATTATTTTAGTGTTCATTCAAGTCAAGAATTTGTTAGAATTTTAAATAATGATTTTAATTATATTGTCAATCCTATTGGTTTTAATATTATTACGTTTATTGATTCAGAAAAATATGAAATTGACAAAATATATGGTATACCAACATCAAATGAACATGAAAAATCGAATTATGTTCGAATTGATAGTGTTACACCGTCAGCTGTAGATGATAAAGGTTGTGTTAAAGGTAGTATGATCGTTGTTAAATTTCGAGAAAAATTAACAAGTAATTTAAATCCATCTAATTCAATTCAATTAACAATGAGATATGAAAATATACATGGACAAAAGCAACAACAAACAATACCAACTATCATAAATATAAATGATAAACAAGATATTTTCTACGATAATTTGGGTATTCGAAAAGCTATACTATTGTTACATTATACATTATTAATTAAAAATATTATTGAAGATGTTAATCATCATACCAAAACATATTATGATGATTTAATTAATAAAGAGCAACAACATAGACTAACTGATAATACAAAAATGTCAACAATGGTATTAAAAATTTCAAAGAATATGAAAAACGATTTGTTAAAATTTCGTTCACATTTTATTGATGAAATGAAAATTTTAGACGATAATAATTTAAAGAAAGAATTAGATATTATTGATAAATTTCGTTATGCTGAAGAAATCTAAGAGTAAATTGGCATTTTTTTAAGAATATTTTTTCTCGTTCATTTCTCTTCTAATTAATTACTAATGTAATTTAATTACTTAGTTTCATTCAATATCTCTCATTTTATCATTGTGAGTTCTGCATATATTGCTTTTTATCATTTTTTTAATTAAAAAGTGTAACTGACACTTCTTTTTTATGCACTTTTATGAAGAAAGAAGAATAAGATAAAATTCATACACTTTTAAGTGCCATATGTGTTTCTATCTAGTCAAAATTAATCAATTTTAAACTATTTCACTTCAATTTGTTCGGAAGTCTTGTGTATACTCACTACTTATTGTTGTTGTTTTTTATATAAGCTTTATTCTGTCAGAATACAAGCGGAAGAATATTCCATTATAGTATTCTAAACTAAAACTATCGAAAAACACAAAATCAATTTTTGTACGAATAGAGNAATCTTTTACAATTGTTTTAAAAAATTTTTTCATTTACAATAATTACAAAAATAATAATCAATTTTTGTACGATTAGAGGTTCGAACATGTGAACTTAGCTTTGCAGAAACTGCAAAACTAAATTCACCGTTCTATATCTATATTCTGTACAACGACTGAAGTTGTGCAATGGACCCGATGTTATCAGTAGTCATTTTTCTGGTATGTTTTTTGTGTTCTGTTTTTTTTTATATAAGTTTTAGATACTTATTGTTTTAATCATGATTACTATTCATTTGTAAATAAATACTGAATTATTTCTTAAAGCTAATCGAAATCTCGAATTTTTAGCATATTTTATAGTAAAAATTATTCTGAAATTTTGGATCTATCATGATGCACTACATGTCAACAAAAACTCTAGAGACTATAGTTTTCAAAAATCTTGTTAGACTTTTCGTTCTAAAGACATGCCTAAACCTATTCTATAAATTTACACAAGTTCAAAATCTCTAGGGATTTTTCATTTGAATGAGAGAAACATTCTTTTTTGAAATCAAATCATTTTCTAAAAGCTTTAACTGATTTGATCAGATGTGAATTTTTTTTACTTTTATACGGTCATAGCTCTAGTAGCTCTAGTTAAAATATTTATTTTCAAAATTCATGTTCACTATGTTTTCTCACTTTTTTTCCTGAAAACAATAATTCTCTTGAGATGTAGAATAATCGATAACTTAGGTTTTTTGTCTTGTATTTATGAAATTATAAACTCTTAAATCGTGTGACTCCGTAAAATCTTTCTCATTTCGAATAAAAACCCCTTGAGATTTTGAACTTGTGTAGATTTATAGAACAGATCTAGGCATGTATTTAAAACGAAAAGTCTAATGGAATTTTTTTCAAAATTCTACAGTCACAGTTGATTTTGTTAGATGAAGTACACCATAGTAGAACTAAACAAATATTTTCAAAATAAATTTTCATATAATTGGCAAGCAAAATACAGCAAAACTCAAGATGTCGATTAACTTTTATTTCGAACTTATTCCAAAAGCAATCATATGCTCTCTATTTTAAATTAACGTAGTTGTTTCTCTTTATCCAGATTCTTATGTGAATTATTTTTTTGTTTTTTTGTTTTGTTAAAAAAAGAAGATGATTAGTGATCGTGATGACATAGAAGTTTTTTTTTTTCCAGGTGAAACGAAAGAAAAAAAATAAATGAATCGAACAAAAACCTGATAAGAAATTATTATTACTATTAGAAGCAGAGGATACTATTTTCAAACATTTCCATCTGTCGCATGTGACTAAAACAATTTTCTTTTTTGCTTATAACTTCTATTGTATTTTTAAAATTTTATTTTCTCAATTATGTAAAAATGAAAAAAAAACAAGGAAAAAAATTAAAAGAAAAAATACTCTACTTTTTTTTCTTTCTTTTTTAAATTTGTAGTCTTTCCAAACATTTTCTTTATCAAAAATTTAGTTTAAGTATATTTATCATGTGTTTTAGATACGATAAATAGTTTAAGAAGAGATAGTATTAAAATTAGTTTTAAATATTTAAAACTTATTAACGTTCTTTTTAATGCATCAAATGAAAGAATTTATATTTTGATCAATTTCTATTTGGTTACCGTTTTTACGACTTATAACTCGGTTTGTTTACGGTTTTCTTCAAAAATATGTTGTTTTTACCGTTAATGGACATATTCATTACCGTATATAAGAAAATGTCAATTTTTAGTTGATTACTCTCAAAATATTGTTTTTATGATTGATTAATTCTTGTATTTTTTTGAGTCCTTTCCACTGATGTTAGAAGCCCTATAATACTATGTTTAACCTTAATCATACGACTAAGGTGACATTCTAGGATTAAGCTTTGATGACTTGTATGTTTATTACAGATATACTAGTAATAACAGCAACTGAGAAAAGATAGTATATAATAATTATAAATAATAATTAATAAAATAATTTGGAATAAAAATGGCCAAAAAACAGTGCGTTAACGGTCATAAAAATAAAGAGTGTTTCCAAGTCTGATATTTTTCAGTCCATGTCCGCTAGAGACTAAGTTCGAATCAGTTTCTATCCGCTCTGTAGCTAAAATTTTTTCGTCCCAGTCCAATAAGCTTTACGTCCGATGTTAGACCAAGCATACATTGTTTTTTCTATTTCCATTCTTTTTCTTCTATTTTTTCATCAGAAAGATACTGTTTCTTTACATGGCTATAGTAACAAAATACGAAAACAACAAAAATTTTTGTCACTGTTAAAAAACAAGAACAAGACAGGACTTTTTGTGTTCTTTTGTTACATGGAAATGAAAAGAAAAGCCTAATACATCAGAGAAAAGTTACATTTGAGTAACGTAAGACATGAGAGGGTTTTTCTCGTCATTTTTGACCAATATAGTCGTATAAGAAAACCAGATTGAGAGAACACTCTTAATCGGAGCCGAAGTGCCTGGAACTTTTCGTTCTGTTTTTCATCTTGGTCATCTTATTACTCCTGTCTTTAATATCAAAAAGTTAAAAGAGTGAACAAATTTAAACCGAAAAGTCTAGTCACGAATGTGAACAAATTTTTTCTAGCCGTTTTATGAATGTCAGTAGATCGTTTTAATTGAGCCTAATTAACTTCTGGTGTTCATGTATGTTATACTTTTCTCTTATTTTTCTTTTTTTCTATCAATATTTTTTTTTTAGAAAAAGTTTAGACACGTTTCAAAGAGAAATATTCATCTCATTTATTACTTTAATATCTTCACAATTTTTCTCGTTAGTTGACATACATGAGAAATGTCTACAGTGAATAATATATTGTTTTGTTGTTTTTGCAAATGTTAAGATATAGTATTTATATTTATATTCTCTAATCATCGAATCATTCGTATGAAAAACAAGTTAATATAAACGCAATATACAAAAATAATAAGCTACGTTAGATTTTTCTAGTGGTATTGTTTTCGTCGATCAACTAATATTTCTACGTTAGCATGTTTTTTTTCTTTTGTCTTATTATAATAGAATGTACAAATAAGTGAGCACATTTTTTATATCAATTAATAGTACCTTTTAACAGAATTAAATACTATTATTCATATAGTATACTAATACACATATAGTATACTAATACACATGAGATTATCTGTTAAATTACCCTCCAAGATTCTAGTTTCATTTGGTAGACATTAGTCTCAAAAATGACTTAAAAGATTTCGTTTTACGTAAAAATTATAATATTCATGGGAAAACTAACTTTTATATTACCAAACCAAACTGTCTTCAAACTTTGTTAGTATCTAACAAGTTCTGGTTTTGTCCACATTGTGAGACTTCGAGTAGTTTAAACAAAATTTTTAATTTTTTAAGCTTCCGTCTAGTTGCTAAGTTTAATCTGTTTTACTTTAGATGTGAATAACTCAGTCTTTATTGAATTCAAAAGTGATGGTTTTGAATCAAGATATCTTAACTATTGAATTCTTATCTTTTTTTTTCTCTCTCTCGTTCTATGGTCAAAAAACGTATCCTACTATTTTACGATTTTGATAAAAGATGATCTATCTCACCTATTATTTATTGTATATTTTACTAAAAATTTTTCGCTCCAAGCATCTTCTATCATGATTATTATTTTTGTAATTATTGTAAATGAAAAAATTTTTTAAAACAATTGTAAAAGATTGTGACAAAATAAAAAAATGTCATCCAAAGATGATAACAACTATTTAAATAAAAATACTTCATCAGTGATAAGAAAAGTACATTCAGATGTATTTTCAAATATTCATGAGCAAACTCATTCATTAACACCATCACCATCTGTTGGAAAATTATCAGAAAAAACACCATCGTTCAATTTCTTGTTATGTGTTCGTAACAATAACAGACGACGATATGATTCTAATACAACTGACACATCATCATTAGAAGCTGTTGTTCGTCAAACGACATCATGGAGATGGATAATTGTTTTAGGATCATTTGGCTGCCATTTTATTGCTGGTTTGTAACTTATCTTTTTTTTCTACTCATGAAAATACATGAATAATGTATGCATATATTTAGATGGTCTGTTGTTTTCATTCGGTGTTCTTATGCATACAATAAAAACAGATTTGCAGTTACAGTTACACACCATTGGCATCATTGCCTCTTTACTCACTGCATTACCATTACTTTTAGCACCTGTTAGTTCTGCACTTGTAAATAAATTTGGATGCCGCAAAATGACAATGTTGGGTGGATTAATATCATCGATTGGCTTGTTTACAGCATCAATGATGGGAACATTTTTTGGCGTCCTATTTGGAATTGGAATACTATGTGGTGCGTTATTTTCATATCTACTATGTGTATGTTTAGACTACCGTTTCTGTTTAGGAATTGGTCTAAGTTTTGTTTATGTTCCTGCTGTAGTTATCGTTGCACATTATTTTGATGAAAATAGAGCTTTAGCAACTGGACTCGCCGTTGGTGGAACAGGCAAGTGACGAACAAGGTTACAATATTTCCATGTTTAATTGAAACTTGATTACCTCTATCTAGGACTTGGTAATGCTATTATGGCACAATTGATACATGTAATCAATGATTATTACAGTGATTGGCGACAAACAACATTACTTTTATCTGCTATTTTATTATTTATTATTCCGTTTGGTGCATTATTTCGTCCTGTTGAATTTCATTTACTTCGAAAAGAGAAAGATCGTTACTTATTAAAAGACAGTCGTTTACCATCTTTTATGACTTCCGTGGAAAAATTACATCGTTTCATACGGGAAATGGATAAGGCATCAGCCATTCACCAACATACAACTAGTACAACATCAGCTGATGTCGATGAACAACTACATATGCAACAGTATGAAAATATATCATTAAGTGGTTCTGATTTTTTCGAGTCTTATTCGGCAGATGATATTACAGAAATGCAACAAGTAGGTGATACGAAAACGGTTGATATTAACACATTTCGGAAAAATATAATGAAAGATAGATCATTTGTCAACAAACGATATCAAAAAGCAATGAAAAAACAATTGAATAAATACAAGAAACAAGAGAAAAGTGCCCAAAACTCGATATCACCACCAGTACCACCTAATTCATCATCATCATACAATTGGTTGTTACGCGTTCTCAAGAAAAAGGGATCAACCGAGAATTGTTCTACTGTTGAAATTCCTAAAACTGGTGATCAAACTCTTGTACAAAATAACCAAATTGCTTTTAGCGATCATAAACCAAACCAACAAACGTTTTTGACTGTAGATAACGAAAAAACTGTCAATATGTTAGAAGAAAACCCTTTAATCAACCACAATGACCATCCAGCACCGTTAGCTAAAGTCGATAATAAAACAACTAAGCAAATACCCGGTGAGATTTATTTTGCCAGCATCATCCTTCGTTTTCTAAATAAGATGTATTTGAATAATTTTAGGAAAACGACAAATCACTGCTTATTTCCAACGGAGAGATACCAAAAAGGCAGTAAAAGCTATCAAAAGTGGTGCCTATAGTTCTGTAAAACAACAACACGATGTTCGCCAACAATTATTACAAGTTTACTATCAGCCAATCAATCAAAAGGATATATTTTATAGAGGCAATGTACCAACAAAAGAAAAAGTCGCATTAATAAAAAGTTGTCCAGATTTGACAAATGCTTTCATCTATGATGAATCTACCTCGCCAGAATTTCCATCTTTCTCATCGAGTGATAACGAAGATAAGGATACCAACCATCGGCATCGTTTATTTTTCTATCAAAAAAGTCTGTCATTTCTTAAAACACTTAAACGTATGCTTGGTTTACATGTGTTTCGTGATTATCGTTACATCGTATTTTTTATATCGCAATTATTTTTCTATTTATTTTATGATTTAGTTTATATTTTTCCGGTAGACTATGGTGAGACAACGATTGGATATTCAAAAACCCAAATGACATGGCTTGTGTCCATATTAGGATTAGGTCAATTTTTTGGCCAATTATTATGCGGTTTTTTGGCAAATTTTTCCTGCCTTCATTCATTGATATTATACAATATTGGTACTATTCTATGCGGAATAGCCACGTGTTTAGTACCGGTAGTTATTTATTCATATGTGTCGCTGCTATTTGTTATTCTTCTGTTTGGTCTATCTATAAGCGCAAATTATGCTCTAACCAGCATTATACTAGCGGAAATGTGTGGCTTAGAAATGTTGACATCAGCCTACGGTTTGGTATTATTAATTCAAGGCTGTAGTTCGTTGGTGGGTCCAATTGTTGGTGGATATATTGCGGAACACAAAGGTTATACAATATCATTTTACATCGCCGGTTTTTTTATGTTTTTATCCGGAACAGTTACTTTTATTATTCCGGGTATTTCATGGTTTCGTCGACGTTTAAAACCAGCTACACCATTAAAAAAATAGCAGAAGGATTTTATGTCAGATTAAATTATTGAATGCTATATTTGTATCATTCCAGCAATGATATAAACAATTTTATTCACTCCTAAACTACAACAATGTCTATTATGTGTGAAAATTGAATTGAATCTCGGTTTTAATAGTTATTCAAACAAAGAATCTCGGTAACCAGTGAATTAATATTTTTATTTTTTTAATCTCATTATTGCTCAACCGACTTCTCCTTTTTAGGACACTCGTTTCTAAGTTTAGAAATAATAGCCTCTGCTTTTTTAAATATAGTCAGACTTAACAGAAATCTTATTCTTCATATGTTAATATTCTTCTGAACAAACTGTAGTTCTTCATTTCTAGTCCTTTAGAATCTTTTATACAAAACAGCATTTTGCCTTCATTTTACTTCTCTTTGTGTTCGATATAGAAGATCAAATTGGTTTGTATCCCTCTTTGATTATGAGAAATTATATTACGATTAATAAAAAATCCAGTCACTTTACATACTCGCATCGTTTTGTCACTTCTAAACTGCCAAAACTCTTTTTTTGCTTTGTAACCTGAATTGTGATTGAACTTCTTCGAAATCCAGTGATTTATGTACATATTGTCAGCGAATTTGATATTAACGTGGTGCAATGTGTTTATTATTTTGAGTACCATTCTTTTCAAAGCTACATTCTTTTATTTTTATTAGTTCTAGTATTGTAATTATTGTGTGTTCTGTCAGAGATTATTATTTTGTTATTGTTCTAACTTTTAAATTGTTCGTCTATGTCTGAAATAAAAGCTGAGTACGATAAAAAAAGACGGCTGCAAGAAATCTTTTATTTTGTGTGAAGATGTAAGATGTATGTTTGAATGAGTCTGCATCGATAAAACTTTCGATGTTTTGCTTCTATCATAACAGACATTCCTAACACATGAATAACGATATTTTCGTTATAAAAAAATATAACAAACGAAGAAGACGCATTCATGTACAAAGACGATAATTGAAAACATACAATGAAGAGAACTGTACTATGAGGTAAACATTAAAGTAAAAGAGAGTATGAACACGGAATACATTCACAAAATTTACAACGGTTTTTTGAAAAAAGCGGCTCCTCATGGAACGTGCACAAATCCGTTTCAATTAATTGAACAACAAGAGCAAGAGACCTCGTATTTGGTTAGTTTCATTTCTTCTTTCTTCCTTAACCAAAATGTTATTCTCATTTTATCGACTACTATCTGTTTCAAAATATAGTGCAGTCCGATATTTTTTTAATAACGTTTGAACAATAAGAGCTGGAGACCTCCGATTTTCAGTTTGTTAAACTGGACATCGAGGCACATAGATCTATGAAATAATGAAGCTTTCAGAACAGGTGTACCTTTCGCAACAAAATGTCCGCGCCTGACGTTCCAAAAATCCACATAGCAAAGTACTATTCTAAACACGTGTGAATATACAACAGATATTGCTCTACAACATGGCGCAAGCCTCAAGTGTCTGTGTAGCGTAGTTCGGGCGCTACAGGCAATCTCCAGGGACCTGCCTCTCGGCTGAACCTGAACCCTGGGAGCCTCAAAAGTGCATGCTACATAGGTTTTCCGGTACATTAAATCTCGTGGCAATGTTTGTTTTGTTGTCCGAAATTAAAGAAACTTCAAAAGATGAGTTTTCCAGAAAATTCAATTTTTCCGCTATGGCCGTACTAAAATAAAAGGCTTCTGGCACCTTTATTTTTCAACTCAACTGCTTCAAACTTTCAAAGCAATGCAGATTGCCTGTAGCACCCGAACTACGCTACACAGACACTTGAGGCTTGCGCCATGTTGTAGAGCAATATCTGTTGTATATTCACACGTGTTTAGAATAGTACTTTGCTATGTGGATTTTTGGAACGTCAGGCGCGGACATTTTGTTGCGAAAGGTACACCTGTTCTGAAAGCTTCATTATTTCATAGATCTATGTGCCTCGATGTCCAGTTTAACAAACTGAAAATCGGAGGTCTCCAGCTCTTATTGTTCAAACGTTATTAAAAAAATATCGGACTGCACTATATTTTGAAACAGATAGTAGTCGATAAAATGAGAATAACATTTTGGTTAAAGAAGAAAGAAGAAATGAAACTAGTCAAATACGATTTGAAGTACACACGCACGTGTATATATATAATGCGTAGAAAAATAGAGCTAAGAGTGCCACCAAACGACTACTCATCTCTCTTATAATTTACCAACACTAAACTTGAAATATGATGAATGATACAGTGAACAGGAGAGTAATTATTAAACAATAAATATATATATCTAATATACATTGATATTTTGGAGAAAATAGCAAAGACGTCACGTATGAAACAAATAAAAATGGGAATACAATGAGAGAGCCAATACTGATTGTGAAAGGTAATAATAATACTTTGAATAAATATTCGAAATCAATATCGTTCATACTCTTTAAAAATCACAATGTTCCTGGTCTAAGAATTTCGGGTAACAAAAATATAAATATTGCAAAATAGAAGACATATATCATTCAGACAAGCCAGTGCAGAAACGCAGATGTTTCTGGACTTATTTGAAAATCTAATAGTCGATCGTTAAGTGTAGTTAAACTTTTATTTAATATTCTTAAAGAACATATATCTAACAATATACCACAAATTAATGGAAACAATAGAATTTCTGTCACCACTAGTAGTGCCATTTTAATAATAATATAACATAGTCCACTAAGAGGATGCAAACGATTGAATCTATTTATGACTGTTAACCCTTAAAAGTCGAGGGGGCTTTTTTTTACAACGAGGGGAAGCTGATCACAAAAATAGAGATTATGGACTCTCAGTATGCTCATACTATAGCTAAAAAGAATTAGCTTGTTCTTCTTCTACAGTTACGGAATATCCCTTGGAAGGAATATTCGGTCTTATAGAAAAATCGAAAGAACGGAACCTTTATCTGCAACTTTCCCCATAAATAGGTCTCATGATCCTTAAAGTGTCCTGAAAATTTCAGTCAAAACGGATGCTTTCTTGCCAAGATATTACACACAAAAGAAAAAACGATCACATTTCACAAAATCAACTTTTCTTCAACGTGCCGTATCTCGAGAAGGAAGCATCCGTTTTCGCTGAAAATTCCAGGGCATTCTAAAAACCGTGAGACTTATTTATGAGCAAAATTTCAGATCAAAATTCCTTTCTTTCGATTTTTCTTCAAGGCCGAATATCCTTTCCAAGGGACATTTTCCGATATCATATCACTTCGAAGTTGACGTGCTAGGTTCATAAGATAGCTGAATGTAATGGTCACCAATATCAGTCACAAAAACAAAACTGCACGCTCTGTCTATGAATAGACTAAATCTTCAAAAAAAAGCTTTAATTCAAAAATTATTTTTATTTTCGGCAAATTAATTATCTCGTTTAGAAGCCAGTTAAAAAAACATTTTGTTTTTCAATAGTCTATCAGATTACCTTAGCTTGGAAAACTATTCGTTTTTGAATTTAGAAGTTTTGTTATATTTTTAAAATCAACTATCATAATGTCCCTTGGGAGGGACATTCGGCTTTAACAGGTTAAATCTTCAAACTTCGTGTGTTTACTGCTTTTTTAAACACGATGTTTTTGTAAAATACTTTCCAATGTAATACAGAACATAAGCAAATACTAATATAAACAGAATGTTCAATGACACTACCCAAAAGGCATGTTCAAGAAATGAAGACTTCCATCTAAACCAAGTAAACGTTCTAATGTGAAATCAACGTCAGGCGCTGCCTATTCAATAATGGGATTCCAGTGGTTTTCATCAACTGCGGAAACAGCAACGGCAGGTAGATCTGGGTCTGCGCCATCGTCAGCAGGATTGTTTACAATCGGTTCCGCATCACGATCCACCTGAATGGGAACACGTTAATGAAGAGAAAAGATGAGTGAATTGTTACAGACGCTTACCTTGTAAAACGTCTGAAAGAACATTCTCTAATGAAAGCATATCGAATGGTGGAGTTAATAACGCAGAAACCGATTCAGAGGTAAATAAACATCAATATATTCGACTTGTTGTTAGTGGAACTATGACTACCCAACATATTCCAACCAATATATAATGGAACCAGAAACGAATTGCTTTAAAGAGTATCTTCAATAAACTCAGTAATAAATCTCTTATGAGCAGACGCGTCGGCATGTCTGGATGATAAACTAAAATTAATAATCAATCATACATATGTCAATTGCACATAGTACGGTTGATCAGACATACTTGGAACAAAATGAAAATTGTGTTTGCATAGTTTGCATGTTTCTTTGCGAATATACGGCTTGTCCACGTAACTCGAGACTTCGCTGATCAAGTTTTTGAAAAAATTATTTTAGAGTAGAACTGAGAGGAGCATATCACTAGATGCAGTTTTGGGCGCTGATTACGAATCTCACATTAGTTTT